CCCTAATCGGTCCATATGCTTGGAAGGAGCATTGAGAACGTTCGCACTTCCACCCAGAAAGTCTCCAAGTATGTCTCCATGGCCACAGATCAGATGGTACTCCTGATGTGTCTGTAAGGGCAGTGGGCCAAGCCTGAGCATGCTAGATCCCACTGCAATGCCTTCCCAGCCTTAGTGATATTCAATACCATTTCTGTCAACAACTTCTGGGTCATAGAACTAAGGGCGGAGATAACATGTAACTCACCAATTCCAGCCTGTACCTGGTTTAGCTGTGCCCCAGAAATAAGCCTTTTCTAATTGCCCCAATTTCTCATCATGTTCTTGGTTCTTAAAAATATTCCAAACTGCTGCTGCACTATTGGCCCCATCCCATAGGGATCTGGTCAAGTCACTTTTCTTTCTAGAGGAAATAACCCAAGCCCTCTGTGTGCTAATCTAATGGCAGCCCCCTGTGAGCAATTTGGGTATGTAGAGGTGACCTGGAAACTGGATAAGGGTAATGAAAATTTAACGGTCCCTAGTGTAGTATTAATCACAGTCCATTGATATCCTAATACATTTCTCTTTGGTGTAATACTATACCACATTCCCAAGCATGGGTCCCACAAGTTTCTTCCTGCCAGTGTATAATTCTTTGTTTCTTCACCAGGGTCAGTTCTTAATGTCTCTTGTAGGCAGGAATCCTTGGACTTTGGTGGTTTCAATGGAGCAAGTGTTCCTTCTTCTCTTTTCCTGAAACAGTCATGATTCAGCATCATACAGGGGAGAGGTTACTAGCACATCACCCTGTAATGGTTTTGCGTCTTCTAAAAAAAATTCAAAGGTACAGTAGGTCTGTCAGTGGACAGGGGAGAGGTTACTAGCACTTCACCTTGTCTTTTTTCCTTTTCCTGCTGTCCAGAAGGCACAGCAGAGCTAGAAGGAGAAATAGGCTTATCAGTCGGAGAGTCCTCCTAAGGTGGAGGGGTCTTTTTACAGTGAAAAGCATTCCAGGTAGGCAGTCCTTGGCACTTCACAGCGATGTTGGTGGTTAACAGGACTTGGAAAGGGCCTTTCCAGCATGGAGCCAAAGCAGTCTTTCGTTGGTGGATCTTTACATAGACTCAGTCTCCTTGTTTCAATGAACGGCCGGGCTGCTAGGGTCTTTGGATAGCACTTCTTTTATCTGTGAGAAAAGAAACCTAACACACTTCATTAATGCCTGGCAGTGTTTTGCAGATCTCATAGTGCTTGGGCACATTCAGGCCCCCCTTTTCTTGGCTGTCAGCCAAGTCTTAGCTGTGAGCAGTGTCCTTGGATGGGGCCAGCATCTTATCTTTGGACTGAGCTTGCTAGCTATTTTTTTCCCCCAGTTTACTCGTTCTGTTCTTTTTCCTTCTCCCCTTCTT